TAAAATTGAAAACAAACAAACCACCATGCTGGCTAAACAAAGCATGTCTGTGGGGGACATGCGGCCAGTCTGAGCTATCTGTCCTGAGTGACCAAGGCACTTTCCACCACAAGTCCATCTTAGAGAAAAATGTTCCATGCAGTGTGGAAAGTTCCGAAGAGGAGAGACAGTACGAAGGGAGATAAGAGACTATTGTACTATTTTGAGCCCAAAGGGCGTTTGAGAAAACGTCAGAAGGTCAAGTCCACAGGACTCGGTGGCCAGCTGAACGTAGAAAGAGAGAAGGGGCCCAAGTTTGCGTCTTATACGGCAGGCGCATGGGAATCCTCTGGAGCAGAGGGAAGACACAAAAGGGGCAGGAAATGGAAGAGGAGGCAAGTTTGGGGTGAAGGAGAGTGATGCTCTGACTTCTGGGCGCACTGAGGAAGAGGTTACTGTAACTCCACACACGGCACTTGACAGACGCCTGGGGAGCACTCAGAGCCCTGGGGAGCAGCCCAACATTTAAGGGGTGGAAGGAAGTCAGGGAGTCCATGAGGGAGCTGGTAAGGATCGGCTAGAACAGGAAAATAAAGCAGGAAGCCATGGGACAAGAGCTTTACAAGTCCTTGATGGGGTGGAGGGGGCAAGGAGGTTATGGGCCCTACAGTGTCCACGGGCTCATTACTAGGAATCTTCGGGGATAAGATTTCGGTGAAGTAATAAAGTCAGACATCAGGACCGAGAGGGCAGAGGTGAAGGGGACAAAGAGTGAGAGTGGCTATTTCTTCTGGGAAGCTTGGTCCTACAAGCGGCAGAGAGAAAGAGAGATCTATGGTCACAGGGGATCTGAGGTCAAGAGAAGGTCCTGTTGTAAGCTGTGTGAGTCACGTTAGGGCTGAGGAGACAGCACCAGCAGAAAGGCAAAAGTTGGAAATGACGGAGAAGGGGCACCTGGGTGGCTTAGTTGGTTAAGCATCCGACTTCAGCTCAAGTCATGACCTCGAGGTTTGTGACTTTGAGCTCCGCATCGGGCTTACTGCTGTCAGCAGTAAGATCCTGTCTCCCTCTCTCTCTGCCCCTCCCTCTCAAAAATAAACAAACATTAAAAAAAAAAAAGAAAGAAAGAAAATGATGGAGAAAGATGAGCTTCCTGAGAGAGGCAGGGAAGAGCAGGAGGTACAGGGAGCTGGGCTGGGGGGCGGGAAGGGGGATGGGCAGAGGAGGAGGAAGAGAAGCAGAGCGAGGCCCTAGACAGGGCCATGGTTTCTGGTCACCTCTGAGCTGGGGGGTGGGGGTGGGGGGAGGAAGAGATGTGTAACAGCTTCAAGTTGAAGATGGAAGTCAGGAGAGTTCACACGGGCAGCTTCTCCCTGTTCTGTGAAGCGGGGAGGGAGGTGGGAGTGGGGCTAGGCTTAGAAGATGACAGGTGGAATGGACCACTCTGGGAAACCGGGGGTCCGGCCGGAGACTCAGGAAAGGACCGCTGGGCAGAAGGGGGCCCAGTCCCTACGAGAGTGATCCAGGGGACATCTGGGTGGCTCAGGTGGTTAAGTGACTGACTTCAGCTCAGGTACCGATCTCATGGCTTGTGAGTTCGAGCCCCACTCTAAAGCGCAGAGCCCACTTTAGAGCCTCTGTTCCCCCCTCCCCTTTCCCTCCCCGACTGCCGCTTGTGCTCTCTCTCAAAAATAAATAACACATTAAAAAAAAAAAAAGAGTGATCCAAATGATAGCCTCCTGCCCTGCCCTGCCCAACCGTGCCAGGACTGTGGATACAAGGGAAAGAGAAAGGCAGGTCCCTGAGCAAAATGAGCCGAGTGAAGAAGGCAGAGGCTTCGTAAAGGGCTGGCGAGACTCAGCGCTCTGACTGTGCACCCGACTTCAAAGTAGGAGGATTCCCATGAGTTTCTGATGGTGCAAATCAGTTACCTGCCAAAGGCCTCCACCATCATACAGCGGGGCTGTAAAGACTTGGTCCTGATGTCATTGGTTATGTTTTTCCTCTCCTTAAAGTACCGGCAAGAGCCCTGGATGCCATCTTTATTCTCTAAAATCATATGAATGGGGTAGACGTCCTCCAAAGCGACTGGATCCCTCCGGGACTCCAAAATTCCGGTTTCCAAGTCAATCTCTTCGTATCTACAAGAGGGAAGGCACAAATACCAAACCACAAATCAGCTCCGGAAACAGTACATACTGGGCCACATTCTTCTGACGACCTCCTGCTGAGACCAGAGAGAGAGAGAGAATGTGCTCACTCAGTCTTCCCGCTTTGCAAATGCAGATTAGAGCAGCATTCCTGCCTTTTTAACGCAAAGAACACAGGCCTTCCCAGGGTCCCCCAAATCCACCCTAAGAAGCTGAATGCTGGAACCAGAACCGTCCTACTGGCCCAAGTCGTGGTCTTTTGGTTTCCCTTCAAATCTGGTGCCTGTACGTTAACAATTTTCACCTTGGGATCCTATGTCCTGCCTTTTCCCTCCAAACACTGACCCTGTATCTTCGCTTGTCTACCAAACACCTCAAATTCAAGGAGATCAAAGGCAAAGTTATAACTGCCTCTCCCCGCCCCCAATAAAGTCCCTCCTTTCCACTCTCTCCCAGTTGTGTCGTATCAATGTCATGGAGACATCTTTGACTTGGGTTTCTTCCTTTATCCAGTCAGCCAACTTTGTTAAGCTTTCCTTACAAACCTCGCTCACATCCTGCTCTAGTCCAGTTGAGGCTAAATCCCACTTCCGCTTATTGGCCCTTTCCTCCTTTGCCTTCTGTGTGATCTCTACACTGCGTAACCCTCCAACCCCCAATCACATCTGCCAGGACACCGCTCTGAACTGCTACCCTCCATTTCTCCAGCCGCACCTTCCCAGGCTTCTTGAAAGGTTCCTAGTCCTTCACCCAGCCCTTCCACGTAGGTGCACCTCAGGGCCATGTCTTAGGCCTCCAGGGAGAATCCTGGCCTACAACTTAAACATCCAACCATTCGGGATGACTCCACATGTCCAGGTCCATCCCTCTCTCTGGCCTGCTCCCCCCTCCCCTGCCCCGCATGAAGCCACATGTTTACTAAACAGAATCTCCACTAGGGTGACCCAAAGGAACTTCAAACTCCATGTGTCTCAAAGTACGTTCAACATCTTCCCCACCTCCCCCAAGACTCAACCACTGTGCTGCCCTTCTGTGTTCCCTACCAACAGGGCAGGGCATCAGTATTCACTCAGGTACCCAAATATCAGGAACCAGAGGACTCATCCCTGATTCCCACCTCTCCTTATACCCCACATCCAGTCACCCAATCCTCTTTATTCTGGTTTCATAGGTTTTCATCCCACCTGCTTCTCTTATTTTCACCTGCACCCTGGTAAGCAAAACCATGATTGGTTGTTTGTGGCTGGATTACTAAAATCTCTCAACTTCACACTTTGCCCCTAGTCTGACTCGCCTTTCAGTGGCTTCTAACTACCCTTTCGATAAAGGATAAGCTATTTAAGTGGATTAAAAGACCACCCAATTCCCTCTCCAGTCCAACTGAGCGAAGGGCAGAGTGGGTTTTGTACCCCAGACTTTGTGGATTCAAATTGGGGGTTCTGGTCTTGCTAGCAGATGATCTTAAACAAGTCACTTAAACGCTCTGTGCCTCGATTTTCTCTTCTAAGGCTTTTGTAAAAATTAAATAACTCGCTCTATGTCAGGATCTTAGAACAGTCCCGGCTCACAACAAGCATACATGTAAGTGCCAAACATTATTCCTCATTCCCCACCTCCAATCCTACACTTCAACCAAACTTAACATATTTCTCCTCCTGCAGGCTTCACATTTGCTGTTTCCTGTCCAGAATACTCTGCCAAGTGCCCACCTAAATCCAATCTTTAAGTCCTGTTTTGGACAGTATTACCTCTGGGAACTTCTCACAATATGCCTTTAGAGCACAGATTCTACAGACGGATGGCCTGGGTTCAAATCAACACGTGGGTCACTTATAATCTTTGTAACCGTTGAACAGGTTACTTAATCGAAGGCTCAGTTTCCTCCTCTGCAAAATGGGGAAGATAACAGTACCTACTGCTGAGGATCAAGTGAGTTCAGTCCCCTGAAGCTCCCAGAACAGGATCTTAGGGTATAGTACTAGGCCAAAAATAAGCACTCCATAAATGCTAGCCATTATTATTATTATTATTATTATTATTACTACTATTTATTAAGGTTGCTGTTATGCAGATGTCTAATTGACTTAGGCTCTCCAGTCAAGCACTAAATGAATGCCCCAGAAAGGGTGGTTGAACTCATCGGTCTCCAGCCTTGATCTGAACTCACCTCCTAACCACTACGGAAGAAGAGTACTCTTTGAAACTTGAAGAATATCCCGCTGGTCCTGCTCACCACCACCCAACACCCACACGGACATAATGGGACATCATGAGATAACCCTCAACTCCATCGAATGCCCGGGCTCTACCAGGCCCGAGGAACCCCCAGTCAGCC